TGTGATGGTACATGATAATTTTTTCCAGAGTTGGCTTCACAGTGTATTTGTATATAAATAAAAAGACTAGTGGAAATAATTTCAGATCCTTAAAGGCAGCATAAAAGGCGACTTCTGTACTGCCTTCAAGATGAGTGTGCATTAAGCGAAAGAGAGAGAGAGAGAGGTAGTGTGTTAGTGTTTGAGAGAGATGAAGATAAATAAATAGAGAGAGAGAGAGAGAGAGAGAGAGAGAGAAAGCACTCAGGGTGATTGATCATGTGTATATGTTCTCTCCAGATCCATATGGAATGATATCATACTCTCATCTCTTAAAGTACATTTGGGGGAGGGGCCAGAGGGATGATATCAGAATATTAATGAGGTGCGACCCAGCTCAAGTCTCTCTCTCTCTCTCTTTCTCTCTGGCATGAGCCACACCCTCTTTCTCGGAGCGCCATCCCTTTAAAGGAACACTGTACTTCTATTTGACATCGTCTCATTCTCCATCTCCCCCTTGAGATGATAAGTAGTCTTTTACCATTTTAAACTGTTCAGTTGTTCTCCAGTTCTCGCAATTGCACATTTTGAATAGCTTAGTGTAGATCACTGAAACCAATCCAAACTGGGCTGTTTTTGTAACAAAAAAAATCACCAAAAGACTTCCATATTTGCTTGATATATTTTAGCTTGTTAGGAACTGTACCAAACTCCATCTTAATCAAGGAACCCTGCTTACAAATCAGCAACCTTTCAGTTTAAAGAGTTTAAAAATGCTATCACCTAATCTGAGGAACAGCTGAATGTTATTATTCATTCATTCATTTTCGCTTTTGGTGTCGCGGGGGTCTGCTGTTGCACAGGGGTCTGTTGGACCTCAAGCGCACATTGGGCAAAAGGCAAGGGTAGACTCTTGACAGGTTGCCAGACCATCGCAGGGCAACAAACGCTCACACATTCACACCTAAGGGGAATTTAGATTATTCAATTAACCTAACCGCATGTTTTTGGGATTGTGGGGGAAACCGGAGAACCCGGAGGAAACCCTCTCAATCACTGGGTGAACATGCAAACTCCTTCCAGGAAAGTCACTGGTGAGCCTTGAGCTGACAACCTTCTAACTAGATGGCCACAGTGCTACCCACTGTGCCACCAAGCCGCCTTTAATGTTAATAATAAATGAAAAACAGTCATTTTTGAAAAACAAAAAAGTGTTTTGTTAACAGAAGCACACCGAGCTGTTTGATGAGACCTGTGCGTCTGTGCAGGCATCAACAGTTCAAAGTATTAATTGCTGCACATTTTGGCAAATATTTCTACAGCAGAGCTATTTATTACACATTAAATGAATGTAAAGCTGGAACTGTGAAAGCTATTTAACATTCTTTCACCCCTTTCAAACTTTTAGGAAATCATTATAGGAAATAAATATTTAGGGCCAGAATATTTTCACAGAAGACAAATGGTCTTTGTCATGACTTTTTTTAATGTACCTATTTTCATGGAGGAATTTTTAAAAAGTAATTTTCAATATACATCTGACACCTCAATAACAGAAAACCGACATTATTCCAGATGTCACACAGACTTTGATGTAAAATATATGCTTTCCCTATTGACGTTTTATTGCTGATCAGCTAAAGAATATGTGATCTGCTAAATAATAACTTGTAGTAGATTACCGTTATGGCAATGCTCGCTTGTCTCTGGTTGCAATGGTAATTGTTGATCTCTGTTGAAAGTCTTCTGAGAAATTAATGAAAGTAAAGAAAACCCCCAAACAGCAGATGATGTGCTTGCTGCATCCATGTCCTCAGTGCTTCTGCTCTGTGCTGTGACTGGACTAACTAAAATTAAATTTGTAATACATGGTAACAACTAAAAATAATGATTGAGCAAAATTTGGAAAAAATAAATAAAATGAGTGAATATTTCTGTAGAATTAGTTGCTTTAAGATTAATAATAGAATTGGTACAAAATATTTCATAAGAGTGTAGACAGATTTAAAATAATCCAAAACTCCAAATCGTGAAGAAAAATGTGAATATTTAAAGTACAGATTTTAATTAATCAAACAGTCAAATAAACAACACACGTGGGTGTGATATATGTGCATAGACTGAAAGCAATACAAAACCACACCCATTTTTACAGAGTTACGCCCACCCTGAGCACGTAATTAAACAGATGTCAGACTGCCTCTGATTGATGATAAAGATGAGCACGATATTACACAAACACTTACTCAGAAGAGAAAGTGCACATATGTGGCCTTTTCTTTTAATCTGGAATTAATCGCGCATCAGAGAAACGTGTGTCTGGGTTTTCTGGTGGGATGATTAATTCCAGATTAAAGGAAAAGGCCACATGTGATCCTCCCTCATTCAATTCTGCGTTTTGCATGCCGAGTCTGTGTCTTTATGTGCGCTTTGCATGCAGCATGTGAAACACTTGGAGTAATCACAGGAGTGCAGGTTCCCCTTACAGAGACCCTCCTACTAATCTCATTACCACACACACTAATACAAACATGTATCAACACACACCTAGATGAATGACACATATCTCAGGTTGCCATGGTAACTCCCTCTTCTCATTTGTGAACTGTGTGATTGAAAAAGACAAGCTGGTGCCAGTGATGTGATCCACTGGAGTATTCGTGATGTTTTGCTAAGATTACTTTTAGATTACTTAGTTCCCAATTTTTTCTCATGGATTAAGTATATATTTATTTACTGTTATTTTGTTTATTCCTTAACTTGTATTGTCATTAATTTTTTATATTTATTTGTGTATGTATTAATTTCATATAGTTTATTCATTCCTTCAGTGTTTTTTTTTTCAAAATGTAAATAAATAATTAATTTGTTTATTAATACATTTGTTCATTTTACTTTCTATTTTTTATTTAACATGTTACCTGTTAGTAAGTTAGCCAATGAGTCAGTCTGTCCGCCATCTGTCAGTGAATCAGTCAGTAGGTCACCCAGTGAGTCAACTCTGTCAGCACGTGAGTCATAAGTAGGACAGACAGTCAGTAAGTATGTCCGACATTCAATCATTCAGTCAGTGAGTCTAATCATCCATCTCTCAGTCACTCGTTGACCAGTACAGTCGATCAGACATCTATCATGCAGTGAGTTAGTTATTCGGCAGTCATTCGGTCATGGAAAAGCTCGGTCACTGAGAGAGTCATTGAGTCAGTCAGTTAGTTGCTGAATGGATCAGTCGGTCAGTCACACAGTCTTTCACTTGGTTAGCTGGTAGGTTATTGACAAAGTCTATCAGTCATTTACCAGGTCAGTCAGTCAGTTAGTCAGTTGTCAGTCAGTCAATGAGTCAGTAAGTGAGTCAGCCAGCCAGTCAATCAGTCCTCTGCCAGTAAGTTAGTTGGACAGTTAGTACTTTGTCAGTTGGGTAGCCCGTGAATCAGTCACTAAGTCAGTACGTAAGTCGAACAGTCAGTCACTAAGTCAATCAGGCATCTGTCAGTCATTGAGATAGTTACCGGTATATGTCAGTCATTCATGGAACAGATTAGTCACTGAGAGAGTCATTGAATCAGTCAGTTAGTTGCTGAATGGATCAGTCAGTCAGTCGTTCACTTGGTGAGTTGGTAGGTTACTGACAAAGTTGGTCGGTCAGTCAGTTGGTCGGTCGTCAGTCAGTTGAGTCAGTCTGTCAGTCCTTCAGTCGGTGAGTCAGTCAGTGATTCGATGAGTGGGTCAGTTAATGAATCAGTCAGCCAGCCATTGGGAGGGTCATTAACTGAAAAATTAAATGAAATTTAAACCTAATAAATAAAAGAAATCACACTAAATAAATAATGCAATAAAGCATTATATTAAAAATAAAGGTACAATAAAATAAAAAAAAAAACAAATGAACAAAAGGCTAGTTGGGCAATTAAATCATTTCAACTTTCTTTAAAATTACTTAAATAATTATGTAATAAAAATGAAAACTAAACCAGTTAAACTCTCGCGCTACTGTTTTGACAGGCGTGGAAGCCTACATGAACCTGCGCGCTCTCGTTCCGCGTGTTCAAACCCGCGCCTCTCTCTCTCTCTCTCTCTCTCTCTCTTTCGGTCTGTCTGTGGTGGGTCCGTGAGTCTCTCAGTGTTCCTCTCTCTCTCCGTGTCTCCGGTTCTTGGTCTCCGCGCTCTTTCTTCTTCAGGTGAGTATACGGCATGAGCGCCTGTGTGGTGGTGTGTTGTATGCGCGAGAGTGAATCTCAACACGTGTGTACCCCAATGAGTGAACAACTAACAGTGTGTGTAAAGTGAGAGAGTGACTAAAATACTGATTCGTCGTTTTGAACCTGTAACCAGAAATGCGTTTGTGACTAATGATTATTAGTTGGGATTTCATATTAAACGTATTATTCAGTAAATATAGGATAAAAGTCGAGAATTAAAGGCACAGTTACATTTTTTAACTTACATCAACGTGTTTTCAAAGTAATGTAACTTTTTTTACGTAAAAAAAAAAGATTGGAAGCATGGATTTTTATATGTTTTAAAGTAGTTTTGTAAAAATTCTACTCACTGTGATGTTGGTTACCACTGTAATGAAGCTTCTGGTTTGGATTATTGAAATGCTCAAGGGGTTTCCCCTGGGTTTTCTTCCACTCCTGAGCCCAGGATGGTGCTTGTTTGATGGTAGTGAGCATCCAGGGTCTGTGTACCCCTTATTTATTAATGACTATAACAGAAAATATAATGAAGGAATCTAAATCTAAAAATATGTGGCGTGTGGACAGATAATTCCAATGTTACATGTACAATCAGAAAAGAAGAAGAGAGAGAACTCCAGTTGTAGGTTTCAGGCATCAGATTGTGACTTATGATCAGATTGTGATAATTATATATATATATATATATATATATATATATATATATATATTTATCTATATATATATATCTATATATCTATATATATATATATCTATATTTATATATATATTACTTAAAATTTTTGAAGATTTAAGGATATTGTTCGTAAAACAGAATGTAAACAAGCTTTCCTGTGGCTCAGTTGGTAGAGCATTGCGCAAACAACGCCAATGTCATGGGTTTAAATCCCAGGGAAAGCAAGAACTGAAAACAGAAAAATGTGTTGCTTTGGATAAAAGTGTCTGCCAAATGCGTAAATGTAATGTAAATGTAGTGGATTGAGGCAAAACGTGAGGCAAAACTGTAAACAAGTTGTGTTAGTTTATTTTTAGTTACATGCTGAAATATGAGAAATTGTACCTGATAAATATTTTTTTTCAATTGCTGTGGTGACAAAAGCGCCTGTGGATGGCTGCAGAACGATTTTTAGACTCTATGGAGCACTTCAATCAAGCAACACTTTAAAAAAAAATCTATTCTTATAAATTCTATTATTGAATGATTTTGAATAGTTAGCTATGCTTGCATTAACATTGAACTGAGCTGAGCGAAGTCGTTCTCAAATTCTTGTTAATGTTTTCCGAAGGGGTTGCATTCGAACAGGCTGCGTGTGAGAGGGCTGTGTGTGAGTCAGATTCGGAGCTCTGAAACCCACCCCCCTTATCATGAAGTCAGGTGTCCGCATGCGCACCTTCTATTTGTCTGTTATGGCTGCGATCAAATTATGCATGCAGTGGCCTCAAATGGCCCAATGGCAGGGTCTGGTGTTACGTCGTCCATCTTTCTTTACTGTCATTGCTTCAAGCACCAGTGATAGTTTTTGTAATCTCACTACAAAAAATAAATAATACATTTTGGGTAAATTTGGGGGCCTTTTTGCCTTAATTTGGAATGGACAGAACATGAAGAGAAGTGGGAAGGAAGTTTGGAAAATGACGAAAGGTTCAAGTACATGGCCAGACTGTAGCATGTATTTAAATAGACCCCAATGGGGTAGAACCAGTGACGACTTGCTGGAGGCAGTTGATGCTTGGGTAAAACATTTAAATAATGATTTGATAATTTTTAATCACTTGATTAGTGCTGATGACCCTTCACTTATGCACCCTATACTTACTCACCTGTTTTGCTTCACAGTTTTGTTTTATATCTACTACTTCAAACTATTTGTTCGTTTTTTTTTTTTGTTTTCTTGTTTGGTTTTGTCTTATTACATTTTTTTAAAATCCTATATTTTCTTATTTAATCATCTATTTGTTTATTTATTTATTTAACCATTTGTTAATTTTATCTTGCTTATTTATTTATTCATTTCAATATTTTTATCTATTCATCTAACCGTTAAATGCATGTTGTTTCTTATCTTATTTCTTTATTGTTTTATATGGTTATCTCATATAATTTTTTAAATTCTAATTATTTCTTACATTTTTTTTATTTTTATTTTGAGTATATTGGGGCTCTTTTCTAAATGAAACAAAACAAATACATGTAAATCAACTATTTTTTTATGCATTTATTATTTATTTGTTTGTGCATACAGCTTGAAAGATCATCTTTGTAAAGCATTTCTGGTGTTTCTCTGTTTGTTGATAACCCTCTTTTTCCTGAGATCACAGAAATATGAAGTGTTTCAGTTTCATTGTCCAAACCCTGTAGGATCATCTGTGAACACAATGCACAGCTGGTTTGAGCATTCGACGGGTGATTGGCAAGAAAACAGGATTTATTTGATTGCATGCGCATTTTATGAGCTGCAGTCTAATTGTGATCTGTGTGTGTTTGTGTGTGCTTTATTAATTTATTTGACGACCACTCGTCCAGTGATTGGTCAGTGGAGTAAAAGCTTTCTGTATAATTGAGTTAGTGTCCCTGCGTCTGGCGCCACCACGAGAGAGAGAGAAAGAGAGAGAGAGGTGGGGGGCGGGTGTTTAGGGACAATCATTTTAATGCCTTGTTTTAAATACAATAAATGTTTCATTGGAATCCCCAAAGCATGTGTAAACAAGTGAGTGAGAAAGGGAGAGATAAGACACCGCTTAGAGTCTGAATGAGGGTGAGAAAAAAACATTTGTGAGAGAGTGAGACACCTCCTCACAACAGGTTTGCGTGTGTGTGTGTGTGTGTGTGTGTGTGAGAGAGAGATAGGTAGCGAGAGAGAGAGAGAGAGAGAGAGAGAGAGAGAGAGAGATGCTCATCCCAATAACAAATTGAATGAATTCAAGCTCTCTGTCAGTTGCTTTTGTTGCTGTTCCTATACAGAAAGAGAGAGAGAGTGAGAGTTGCTCATATATGTATCAAGTTGTCCACAGTGAAGTCTGTTTTAATCTTTAGGGTTTCATATTATGTCCCTCATCTGCAGCTATAACAGCTTCAGCTCTTCTGTGGAGACTTTCCATAAGGTTCAGGAGAGCATTTATTGGACTTTCTGACCATTTTTCGAGAACCACATTTGTGAGGTGGTTCACTGATGTTGATAAGAATGGATAACTGCAACCCTTTTCAAGCTTTACAGGGCAAGAGAAAAAAGGCTCCAAAACGTTTTGTCTCTATATCCGCTGCAAATGCAATACTTTAATATGTGCTCCACAAAATAAATACATAAATTTAAAATAAAATTTGTAATGGCATTTGTGAGACGCAAGCGCATCATGTTACTGTAAATATAAAAATGGTACATTTCAATAACTTTTTTTAATATGAAGTACTCAGATTCACTTGAAATAAAAGTAAAAGAGCAGGAGAAACACCAAAGAGATGGGGTTTCGATCCTGTGTTGTCTGATACAAAAACCATGCTGAGTATCAAACACTAGCTCACCTTAGGCTCTAATAAAAGGTTAGATAGAAAGGGTAGAACATTTGTCATGTTCCCCTCATGATTTGCTATTGTGACTTTTTTTTTCTTTTTCAATTACACCTTAACCCTTTGAAGTCCAGGGCCTTATTGAGCATTTTTTATTACTTTATTAATTGTTTTAATAAATTACATTTAAAACTGTTTTTTGCAGCAATGCTTGATTTTATTTTTTCAGATCAACCCCAGCTTCCTTTTTTACAAATATTTTTTCATTACCTTACACAATATTCCCACAACAACCTGAAACTGTACAAAAAAGTTTTACATTTTGACATTGTTTACTGCAAAAATCTCAAATAAACAAATCCCCCCAAAACCAAAAACAATCAAAAAAGTGACAATTGCACACAAAAACCTTTCTGAACCATACACTGTTCCTAGAATTTTTTGTACCATTTACTTTTTTGTGCCAGAACTTTAAAAAACACAAGCCATATCACAGGTCTTGTACTTCCAAGGGTCATCCCTTCTTTTCACCACTAAATGGTGCTGAGGGCATTGTTTTTGGGTGTGTAAAATGAAACTGAAAGACGATCGTGCATTTTCTCACATTTGAATTTAAAGATCTTGAAAATGAAGTATCATAACTCTTGTAATGTTTGTTTGAAAATATAACAAAACAAAAAAAAAAGGACAAAACTTCTAGCCTTTTGAAACCTACACATTATATATGAAATCAAAATTAAACAGTAGCTGCGTTGCATTTAGCATTCCTACTTAATTCATACTTAATTCTTAATCTTCATGTCAGCGGTTTTCAGAGCCATAATATCAACTACATTTTCTTCCTGTTATTACTTTTTTTCACTTATAATAATGAAATACAAAGTTTAAATATATGTTGTTTCTTTCTAATTCAGACTATGAAAAGTTGTGTTTATTGCTTTTGGCATCTTCTTGCCATTATTATTTCTAGTGTGCTCATTAACATATTTAAATGTATGTAAATGAGACAGAAGACGGGTGGCATTTTCTGCTTTTCAGGGTGCACTGATCTATTGACTTCATTAAGCACTGGACAGGAAAATGCCCCTCCATATATTTACAGCTGTCTCAATGCAATCAGACAAGTACACTCTGTGACTTTCCATTGCATTTGGTGATGCATTCGGGTTTGCTGCTCAGCCTTGAAATCCACACCATGAAGCTCTTCAAGATCTGTTTTAAGCTCATCTGAAGACCACCTGATATTGAAGTTCTGTGGCGATTTATTTTACAGAGGTTTAGATGAACCATTGCAAACAGACCTCATCCCAAAATTTTTAGGATCTGGAGCAGTTTCAGATCTGCATATCTCACTCTTATGATTTCCTGCAGCATTTCTTCTTTTCATGGTTGTTCACTCTCATGCTGAGATGGTGATGTTGAAGTGTCTGGTAAAACCATCAGCGGTGAATGTTTCCCCCAAACGGATCCTGGATCAATTTTCATAACTGCACTGAAGCCACAGACACACAAATGGTTACCTATGAGCTCGCCCTCAGACAGGAAGTGTGTGTGAAAAGAAATGTTTGAGCAAAAGAGCTCAAATGGGTTAAACAGACACAAACTCTCTCTGTATTTTTCCTTTTCTTTTCTCACTCATTTTGCAGTTTTCTTAGACTGCTAAAATGATTCAAGCTAATAATTTGGTGTTCAGTATAGCACTGGAGGTCTGATGCTGTATTTGGACAGTGAAACTGGAACACTTTTCATGTAACACTGGAGGTCTGATGCTGTGTTTGGACAGTGAAACTGAAACACTTATTCAACCCTTGTAAATTCATCAGTTTGTGTGTGTGAGTGTGTTTTGCTTCATTAGCTGCTCACAGCTTTGCTTCTCTGCAGGAGCTGAACCTTGTCTGGCTGCTTCAATGTTGTGTGGTTGATGGATTGTGTATGAAAGAGAGAGAGAGAGAGAGAGAGAGGGGTGATGGTGTTCACTCATTGCATCTCTTGTCCCAACAGGTCATCAAGAAAATCAAACTGGCTTGAAAACCCCACAGTTGACCTCAGAGTTCCTTAAAGGGGTCAAAGGTCAGGATCTTTGACCCCGTGACATCAACATCATGTTTCATACGTTCCCGAATAAATCACGAGCGCAGTCGTCGCTCAGCATGGAGAAAACCTACTCGCTCACTGCTCACTACGATGACTTTCAGGAGATCAAATACACCAGCAACACGCTGAGCAACGGACTGAGTCTGCATTTGAGCGGTTCCTTGGAACGAGGCAAAAGTGGGCGGGGCAGAGCTCAAGCCGGAGGCGGGGCCAACATTAAAATACCCAAGCGTTGGAGCCGTCGTGAGATCTGCCTTCTGTCCGCGCTCATCTTTGCCGCAGGATTGTGTGTGATTCTTGG